TTGCTTTTTTCAGGAAAGTATCATTACACTGTCTACTTTTAGTAAACCTGGAAACAGGTCAATGGTAGCTCCTGTGTTGTCTGGAAAGTTTGAAAGAAAATTTGGAAAAACAGGAAGTGTGAAATATCAGAATTCCCTGGAGTTCCCTTTGAACGCCTACCAGATATTCTAAAAGAAGACAATGTAATGATACTTTCCTGAAAAAAGCAAGGAAATTGATACATGCCTTCATACTTTATTTTGTACCAGAAAATAACATGTGCAGGTATAGCAATTTTTTACCAAAATGTTACTTTCCAGCTGTACCTTAACTCTTTGTCTATCATCTTTATATTTTCAGTCCTCTAGCCTAATGTCTAGAGCCACGTGACGCCAGGTAAAAAATTTTAATGTTTCATGTTGAACCCAAATCATTAATGTAAGCTTAAAAATTGATATGGCTAGTTCTAACCTAGCCAATAGTGTACTCGTAACATCGAACATGAAGCATCAAAATATAAGAGGCCACGCATATAATAGCGAAACTGTAAAACAAACCAAAATATACAAAAGTTACGGGTATGTTTCTATTTTTTCATAAACTGTTCAATTGCTTATTTTTTAAATTCTAAGTACAGGTAATCAAAAGGCAAATGGATGTCTATCGGTAATCGGCCATTTTATGACGTCGACATGTCTATCGGCCATTTTATTAGGCTGGAAGGCATCCATTTGAATATTACTTTGTCAAATGGATGTATTATGTTTAACGCCAGGGTGCACTTTGGATTTTTTTTTGCAATTACGAAAAGTAAACCACTGAATATTCTTGTGATTCATACATTCTAAAGGATTTTCAACCATCAATTAATAGTCTATGTACACTAATGAATCTTTTGTGCAAAAATGAAAGATGTAGACGATATGTGGAATAAGTTAAGTTTATCTGAAAAAAGCACATGGTCATGAAAGGCATGAAATTTCATCAAAGTGCACTGTGACCTTAGTCAGGATATGTAATATGATATGACTGATTATTATTACAACTATATAAGACATTTACGGAGAGATGAATTTTTATATTATATAATAATCTTTCTTTATTGTCGGCATACTTAATCACAGTGACTTATCAAATCAACATACTGTGGTCTTGGCATATACTCTGTATTAAACTTTATTCGATATTTGTAGGATATCATGTCAAAATAAAAACAGTATTTTTGTAATCAGTGGTGAAATATGATAATTTTGCTTTGACTTTTCATTACATCAACAATAATGCTACATAAAGCTACATTACTGACTGTTTCAAAGTTCAATATTGAAATGTATTGAAGGCCGGCCACATTTTGCTTACCAGCTTCCTTTATGTACATTTAACATTAGTCATCATTAAAACGGGGCAGCACAAGTCAAAACCATACCAATAATATATAATTTGCTGAAATCAAAAGACAACTGTGCAATAATATATGGAAAATTGTATTTAAATTGTTATTTGTTTCAAAATAATGGCAGAGCAGCATCAAAATATAAGAGGCTACGCATTGTACAAGCCAAACCAGAAGCAATCCAAGATATACAAATGTCATACATGTACAATTTTAATACAATTTTCTACAAGTTATTACACGGTGGTCTTTTGATTTCTTAGTTTTTTAAGTTTTACTGATATAGTAGACTAGTGAAATTAACTGTAGTTCAGTCAAAATTTTAATTCTATTAAGTACTTTGAATTTAAAAAATAAGCAAAGTATACAAAAGTTAGGAGGGGTACATATGTTTCTATTTTTTATAAACTGTTGCAATATGGCCTTTCAATTGCTTAACATTTAAATTCAAAGTAAGTACTAGAATTAAAAATTTGACTGTAACAAGTGTAACCATATATTGACTATGTATTGTTTAAATGATGTGCACATATATAGGGGTTATGCACTGGGAGGTTTTGGATACAGGGAATATCCCGAGGGATATACAATATATCTTCCCGAGGGACCGAAGGGACCGAGGGAAGATGTATTGTATATCCCAAGGGATATTCCATGTATCCAAACCGACCGTGCATAACTGGTGTATCTCATACTTGAGTGGGTTTAGGGTAGATATAACCCTTTCCACCTTTTTCAGATGACAAGATGTTTATATTGAACATTTTCGTAATATTCTTTTTGTTCAATACAATGAAATTGTAACATTCAAACTTAAAAAAATTTAATTTTAAAATTAAAAAATTAAAACTTGATATTTAAACTTTTTTAAATTTTTGAAAAATTCCCGGGAGCGGGATGGATATATTATATCTGCCCGCATTTGGCCTGGAGCGGGATATATACAATATATCCTGCCCGCTCCTCAGATACGATATATATTCCCGGGTGATATCTACCCCAAACCCACTCAAGTATGAGATACACATATATACATTCACATAACGTGGGGATGGTATTTCAAATCGCCCCCACAACTACTTGTATGTTCTCTATTCCTCAGCTGGATGACTGCAGTTAGCATCATTCAAGATGATTGCTGAGATTATTTCGTTTTCGATAAACCTCTGATTTCAGCTAAACTAAGTTGAATATTGATTTAACCTCCCAGCTAAACTTGCCCCACAAATGCAGATTGTTGTTTTACAAGCTGTATTATATGCAGTTTTCAGATAATGATATGAAGGTTTTGGATAGATTTGGGAACGCATTTTGATACCGCAAGTTTTTGAAAATTTTTCAACTGAAGTTGTGGACCTGTGAGTTTCTATATTGAGTTACGTCTACTTTTCCCTTGGCCTATGTTCTTTACCATTGTAGCTTTATTAATTTGAATGGCGAACTATTTGTGATCCACATTCAACTTAGAGCAGCTGCAATCATACCTTTATGGGAAACAAAAGAATCTCGGCAACCATCTTGAATGACACTAACTGCAGCTCAAGTCATCCTGACTTTCTCCCAACTACTGACAATGTTTTAAACGCCAAGATTTTCAACAACCAAGTGGTTGTGGGTGTGATTTGAAAAATCAACCCCACATTTATGGGGGTACATGTACAAGGAAACCAATTTTATAACCATGTGTCTTTATAAAAATAAGTAGGGCTGCCATTTGTACTTATTATTCACTCATGATGAATGCATCTAAGTCTTCATCAGCCAATCTGCTAATAATATGTTAACCCTATCTGGGTCAGGCTGCTTTGACCTTTCATTACATCACATTGTTTCAATTTCACAAATACATTCATACAGTTAATCTTGTAATCAACAATAATGCTACATAAAGCTACATTACTGACTGTTTCAATTTCTATATTGATGGCCAGCCACATTTCAATGTGTGGTGAATTTGTAGAGTTACCAGCTTGCTTTATGTACATTTAACGTTTGTCATCATTTAAAGGGGGCAGCACAAGTCAAATCATTACAATAATATACAGGGTGTTCAAAAAAAAGCAACCCAAAGAAATCACAATATCTTGGAAAATACTAATCCAATTGTTTTCAATTTTTCAGGAAATAATGAGGAGACTGATATGTATAGCTCCTGTAGTTAGTTTGTTGTAAAACATGATCGCCAGTGGACACCTTCTAATCTAAATTGGGTAAGTACTTCAAAGTTACTGGACAAGTTTATTTTCATTGTGTACTTTAATTTTGTAAACATTTCTCACAAATGAAGTACTTTCCCACGTTCGATTTTTTTGTAATATTGGCGCATTTGTTATGGAGCCACAATAGGCACCCATCACAATGTATGCTCGGACCCTTACTGACATTTTTATTACATTTGCCGCAATACCAGTTGTTACCATCACTAATTTGTTTTGAGAACTCTGCAACCCTGTCCCATGCTGCTTTCGTAAATAAAGTTCTGAAATTTTTCAGCTTGAAAACCGATGTTATTCTGGGTGAGATCTTTCGGAATGCTAACAAGTCTGCTACTTCCAGCTTTCTATTATCCGGAAGCCTGATGGGTCCGGCTACCCAATTGATGATATCTGAAATCATAATCAGTCAAGGCATAATGTGAATGTTGAAGAATATGCATAACCCATCAAATCAAATTTTAAACAGTGTCAATAAAATAACTACTTGGTAAGAATTGTGAGCTTCGACCCCTATAAGTTAGTGCCAAACTTCAATCTGAAACTTGACATATAAGCATGGTATAAATCTAGAAAACCTAAACTCATATCTACGTTGTTGAACCATTTTGTTACATCGACCACTTAACTGACTGTGCAGTGGGGATAATTTAAAGTGAAATAGTAAAAGGTACCTTTACGCTTGTCACCATCACTTTTACTAATCCAGAGTCTGTCCTTGTTCTCCTGGATTGGCTTTGCTGCCCTTGTATTTGAGAATATTCCCAGACCAACTGGTGTCCGTGAATCAGTTACTGTTGCATCTTGGCAAATCTTGGCCATATATGGATTAACTGGAAAATTGTGATGATGTCAATATATTTTACCATAAACACTACTGAGTTAGCATGTTACAGTACTGTAGTTTATTATCGGGACAATCAAAGTTTTTAGGGAATATCGTTGCTCAGTCAGTGTAGTAGTTAGTTTACGATTGGCAACTTGGTATACATTTGGAAAATAACATTGCAACTGGTCAGTAATGCCTTTTTGATAACCCCAGAAAACATAATATATTATCTGAAAAATGAACCTTAATTTAAGAGTGTTCTCAATCAGTTGGTATACAGTTGCTTTACCCAGAGCATTCGACCTAGATGATTATATTAAAACACAAAGGGCAACATATTGAAAATGCAAAAAGTAGGTATTCAACTCAAATGTTAAAAATCTAGTGATCTATATATGATGTCTCTATTTGGCATTATCAAAAAAATACATAGTAAAATACATATAGATTCAATCTCTCTGTTATATATCATCTTTATGGTCTGGTATGAATGATAAATAAAAATAGACAGTGCCCCTTTAAATGACCTATGAAAGCATAGAACTGATTAGTTTTTTGGCAGTCTTGGTAAATGTAAAAGCCAATTTTGAGGCTCTTCAAGTATTCTAAGCATGTTTTAAGAGTTAAGAGCTGAATATCTTTCAAAAAATGCCCATTGGCAATTATGACAAAATGATCGCAATCAATTAGATGCATATAAGGGCACTCAAATGAGAATGGGTTTTCTTATTTCAATTGTTTATCACCAGTTTCCTAAACATGTTAGCCATATTCTAAAGAGTTTTAAATCAGATATCCGTACAGGCACTTAATTTTCAAGTTATTTGCCAATACAATTCCCATATTTGAAACACAAATAATCCAGAGAAATTCTCTTTGAGAGTGCGTTTTTGAATTACCGCAACGCGGTTGAAATAGATACGATTGCGTAATAATTAATTCGTTTTACCCGCTGTAAATCACTAAGTACAAACAACTATACATAATTTTCAATAATTTATTTACTTTTAAACTAGTGTCACAAATAAACATAAAGATGAATGCTGTCACCGGTTGTCATCTAAAATTGGTCAAGCTTGATGGAGCATGCTATTTTTCGTATAAACACTATGAATAATTCACAAATTATATTTTGAACTCATACTTGTCTGTTTGTTTATTCAAAAGGAAATTAATTACTTCATGCAATGAGTCCATCATATGCGGATAACCTAAACTTATGTTTGGAGTCCAGTAATGCTACAGTAATGCAAGGAGTAAAAGTAAGTGAAAACAGTGCCAGAGTATCATAAGCTAAAATGTAGCATTTCTTTTTACTTTTAAATGGTACAATGTAGTGACAAGATAAGATTTATATATGTTTTCCACATAACTCGGGAGGTATTAATGAGGTATGGATGTTTTGGGTCTTTATAATATTTTTTTAATAAAAAATAATGTTGTTTTTCCACCTTTTAAATTTGAAACTGCTGGACAAAAAAAGTAAACATAATTGTTTTATGAGAAAAAAAACCCAAATATATCTAGATCTAATTACTACCTTCAGAGTTAGGCTGCAAACATATATTATCATGTCACTATATCATACCATTTAAAAAGTAAGCCAAGAAATGGTACATTTTAGAATATGATACTATGGCACCGTTCTCACTAACTGCTACTCCTTGCATCAATGGACTTCAAACAGAAGTTAAGGTTATCCGCATGATAGACTCATTGCACAGATGTCATTGCATGAAGAAATTAATTTCCTTTTGAATAAAAAAAACATAAAAGATAAAAATGTAATTTGTGAAGTTTTCAGAGTGTTTATATGAAAAATAGCATGCTCCATCAAGCTGGACAAATTTACCATAAATTATGTACAAATATATTATCAATATATTTTGGTTTGGACATGTTATGAATTACAAAACCTGATTTTCAACTGAATTTGATAAACTTATGTACTATAATTTTCACAGTTTATTACTTCCAAGTCATATCCTATATCCATTGGGATTGTGCTTGATCCATCTTGACAACCGCTCTCCCGATTCACCGCACCATATATTCTGAATAGATTACAAAAGAAAAACACAATGAATACAAACATAACTAGAAGTTTGAAATTTAACAATAAGTTCCGACTCCAGATGACAGAGTATTTTTACCGCACCTTTGGGTGCTATATTGTAATCAGTTTGCCGGGCAGGCAGATGAGTAGGCGGGTGGTGGGCGGATAGGCGTCCCGAATAATCTTGTCCATATGTTTCCAGCCAAACCGTTTGAGGGATTCATTTGAAATTTTCAGGGATGTTTCTACCTATGAAAGTTTAGAACTGAGGGATTCATTTGAGATTTTCAAGGATATTTCTCTACCTATGAAAGTGTAGAACTGATTAGTTTTTCGGCATTCTGGGTAAACGTTAAGGTGGCCATTATGGATTTTACGTCCTAAAATCTTGTCTGGCAAGGCTTGTGTACAGGTTTCCAGCAAAACCAATTGTCAGATTCAATTGAAATTTTCAGGGATGTTTCTCTACATATATGAAACATCCTCATTAGAACTGTCATTGAAATGATTCATTTTTCGGCATTCTGGGTAAGCGTTAAGGTGGCCATTTTGGATTTTACGTCCTAAAATCTGGGTAAATGTTAGGGTGGACACGGATGTTCCATCCCAAAAACTGTATTCTATTCAAGGGTGCCATTCTGTTCACACTGTGCCTTGTTTCTTTTTTAGACAGACATATGGATGGACAGACGGATGGATAGACTCGACATGGACTGGACGTGAACAGAGGCAAAAACAATAGACTACGGCTTATCATGTGGAGTCTAATAAGCAACATGGCAAAAACAATCTGGAGTCTAATTACAGAGTGGTACATGTAACTGACATTTATTCCTCATACTGTGATATTTCAATCGAAAATTCAAAAGTAGAACTGAGTAATCATTATCACAGATTCTTGCAAAGTTTATACAAAAAATACAAAGGACTGGTAGCGATATGGTGAACTGAATTGAACAGTTCTACCAAGAACAAAAGTAGTGTCTGACGTGTAATGTAAAACTATATCTAGAAAAGTAGATAACGGTACTGTACCATACTGTATTCACACAGTAGTGTTACATAACGTTTACACAGTACTGTATGGTGCCATGTTCACAGTACTGTATGGTTATGTTTACGTTTATAGTACCCTACATTCTACAATACCATGTTTCACTATACTGTAGTCAAAACGATACTATACAGTACTGTTGGAGATTGGTTGGATAAAGTGCACTCATTTATACCTGTGAAACTGTTGGCAGGATCTGCAGGAGGCGCTGAAAGACATCAGGATAGATTCTGTGTTGTATATCACTTAGGTAATGATAGGGGTGACGGTGAAACACCACAGCAGTCGCCAGATGAAAGACCCCAACATCAATATAACCTGCAATCACATTTTTGTATAAATGAAATACAACTAATATATTAACAGTATAAATATATTTTGAAAGTACTGTAATGTATGTACTACACCATTTTTGGCTCACACAGAAATGTCAATTAATGGAACGGGGGATTTATAGTACTTGTAGGAACTTTTTATAACACATTACCGGGGGTTCACTCTAAATACTTTTGGTAGCTATGTGCAGCGCGGACAATTTTGGCTTTCAGCATAAACCATGAAAATTGGCCAATCTGAGAGGGAAAAAACATGGAAAATTGTCTGAGTCAAAAGTCTGAGAGTAATAAAACATGGAAACCTTCGATGTTGAGAGGAAATTGACATGGAAAAAATGCTCAAGGATAGCAAAGGATATTACAATTTTCAGTTGATGTAAACAAAAATCTTACCCTGTCTGAACAGTTGCTCTGCCAAGTGGACTTCCTCAAAGAAGAAATTTTGGACAGCATCCTGAAGAGGGATAAATAAATGTTTAGGCCTTTTTAATAAACTCATAAACAATGCAGCAGAGGGTATTATTAGCAGGCAACCAGATTTTAAAGTACGAGGGGTGATCCAAAAGTCTTGGACGCCTTGCTCTAACTTTGCTATTTTCTAATATAATTACATGAAACTTTCAGATAATAAAGATCAACATCTGAACAACTTTGTGTATAAGTTTCAACAGAAAATAATATATTTTAGCTACTTTTCTAAATATTTTTTAATACCGGGTCCCTGCTACCCGGAACGGTATTTAGATATAGCAAATCACGTCACAACTGTTATAATATGGCAAATACTTTAGTTGCAGGTGGACAACCTAAACCAGCCATGATATGAGAGAATTTTCGATTTTCAATCTGAGTGTCATCTGCAATCATCATTTTCACATATTAAGACCTACTTTTCAACATATTTTCCACGAATTTGAACACATTTTTCAAACCGCTTTATCAATGAATGGAAGACATTTATGACTACGCCATTGCTTATGTGATACAAATGCTGCTGGAGTGCCATTCTAAACCTCATCCAATGAGTAAAAAAACATTTTCTTTCAACCCTCCTTTCAACTTGGAGAAAAGGAAGAAAATCACACGGAGCCATACATAGACTATATCGTGCATATGGTAGCTGTTCAAGGTCAATAATAGTAAAAATATCTTGTAGTATTCTTTGTTCCACTTTGATTTCTTCCGTGTTCTGCATTTCAGCAGCCATCTTGCAGCAAAAATAATACTAGAATGAGGGTTGCTTGTCCGATGGCATTTTCTTAGAATTTGACATGTACGGCCATTGTCATATGTGACATTTTAATTAAAACACAATTAATTGGTTGCCTAGTAACAATGAAAGTAAACTAACATGGTTTAACATTCAAAATTCAAAGAAATATAGTGGTCAAGACTTGGGAAACAAGTGAAATGGTGGCAACATTTTAAGCTGAAAGTTGCCATGTGCGAATACCGTTCCGGGTGGCAGGGTCCCTGTATTAAAAACTATCTAGAAAACTATATAAAATATATAATTTCTCCATGAAATTGATACACAAAGTGGTTAGGTTGTTGGTCTTTATTATTGGAAAGTTTAAAGTAATTTTATCAAAAACCAACAAAAATAGAGCAGGGCGTCCAAGACTTTTGGATCACCCCTCGTATATAGAACAATATATAGAATTTAATAAATAGTCACAAATTTTAAAAGGTTAAGATATCGCCAATAGTATTTCTAGAAAGTTTGTATCATTTTTTGTAACTTTACGATCGACAACATATATGATGGCATTAATCCATATTCCATTGTCAACATTATTTGCATAATTAGAATCCAAAGTCAGTGCACCTAAAAAGAATATTACTGCATAAATTTGAATGTTACAATATACAATTGTAGACCTCTCTTTTCGGTTAACTGGTAAAACTGTATACCGATTCTGTAAACCTTGAAAGTACTGTTGACTGAGACCGCAGGTCGAAGTCAACAGTACTTTCAAGGTTTACAGTTGAGGAATTGAAGACCAGTGAGGAATTTTCTAGATGGCCATTAATAATCAAAATATGTTTTGTTCGGTGGGATTTGCTACTTCATGGAGTTGCTGTTTTTCTAGTTATGTTACTGGTAGAGTTTAAAATATGAGTGTGGTGTATCCATAATACATGGTTTTAAAACAGTATACATGTACCTAATATTAATCATTTTATAAACTTATGAAATATTGATATAATAATTTGGCTGTAATATAACTTGACTTCTTTTTATGTTTTCAGTTCAGAGAAGCACAACCATTAACAAACAATCAGATTATAGCTGCCCGAGGGAAAGTTTGCTATTTCGGTGGTTTTGTATTAGCAAAGTTAAAGCACCAGCTCCAAGTGAAGGCGACCAATTTGCTGCGAAAATATCATAGGAATGACAAAATTAAACATGATAGGAAATAGCCAGATGGAAATAGCTTACGTACAAATTATCAATGAAATGTGTCTCTCTGAATATGGAATAACTGGTGAAACTAAGGATTCAGCATGCATTCAACTGACAATGGAGAAACAATTCGTTAATGGGAAACTGGACCATATTATTGATGAATCAAATAATTTTGTTCTCCACATTAACTTAATAGGAAATAATAGTATTGACAAGCAACACATCATTCTTTTGATCAATTCACAACTAGGAGATCTACAGAGAAACACAAATGTCAATTATGATCACTCAAAAATGTCATCAAAAAGTGACATTAGAACATTTGGGACGCATACCCATGACCATAATAACCATAATTTTGTCAAAACCTTGTTGTTTGTGAGGAAATTGTAACAGAATGAAGTCAGATATACAGTAAAACATGTCTAAACCAAACACCATTGGGAACAGCTAAAACCTTTCAGATTAGGAGGTGTTCACATTTCAAGTTTTTGGCATATGCAATATGTCGCATTTTGAAGAAATGTGAACACATTGTCAAGAAATGTTTATAGTTCTAACTTTATAGCATTCCAGTAATTTGAAAGTCTGATTCAAATGAATTCATCATGCTAGAAAGACCAATTAAGATTGATACCATTCAATGTCCATGTTTCAAAAGCTTGGATATCATAACAGTTCAGTGTTAAATCGAAAATAGTTAAACAATTATGGAAGAAAAATGTGATATTTTCAGATTGTGAGGTGTTTGGATTAGACAGTTGTACAGATATACAGGTTTCTCTATATGTTTTTTAGGGTGTGAAAGTCTCATGAAGAGAAATAAAAAAAACAAACGTAATAGCAAAATTAGCAATACTTATTGAACGTATATCATTCCATTACATAAAACTTTTCAAAAGAGTCAATAATAAGATATATAGGCCTTTATATACATACTATTTTACACCACATGGAAACAGCAGATTGATGGTACATGTTGAATCTTGCCTTTTGGACTTTCTTCCACTGGTCTGACTGTGGGTGATCCAACAAAATAAGGTGGATTCTTTCTAGTACACCTGAAATGTAAGAAATAAACTTATTTTTGCGTGACACAATATGCTATTAAAGCGTGAAAAATTATTGTATACTGCCATTATGAAAACCAACTCTAGTTAATATCAGTGAACACATGCTTCTACTCTATTGAGCCCAATGGCCAGTAGGTACCCAGTAGGTACCCAAAAACAATGTGCAATCTGGATTGTTGCAATCTAACAATGTGAAAGTTAACATTGTTACAATCTACAATCTGGATTGTTGTAATCTGACAATGTGAAATATAACATTGTTGCAATCTGCAATCTGGATTGTACAATCTGTATTATACATCCTCTCAGAATGGCAACAATGTTAGCAATACTGCAAAGTGCAGATTGTTGCAATGCGTGCAATCTGCAATCTGGATTGTTGCAATCTGACAATGTGAAACATAACATGTCTTTAAGATTGGCACAAGAATTTTAAATCTTTTATTGTGAACATGCTGAAATATAGTTTTAATTACTTTCATTACTTTGTTTATTTTTTATTAAGAACTCTCTCTTTTGAAGTGGGAGAGTTGTATGTAGCCCCCATGCTTTGTTTCATCATATCATATGTTGTTAATGAGATGCTGTTTCATGTGCAGTCTCTCCCCAAAGTTATATCTGCTCATTAAGAATAAATTAAATACTGTTCAAGATAATGAATATTAATTAACATGGCCAATACAGAGCCAGTTGGAGTTACAGTGAAATGTAAACTTATTCAAACTTTGATTCATCCATATATCATAGGTGTTAGTTGAAATGAAGTCAGTGTGAACATGTACAAAAAGGGAGATCAGCTTAATCATTTTCAAAATGTAACTCTTCAAAAACTTGGACTGACAAAGGTTAATTATTTTAAACTCATCTCTAGTCTTTGATATCCTTTGTGAGGGGAATCCATTTAGGCCTATTCTATTTTCAAGATGACATCTGAATCCAAATTATTCACTGGAAATCAAATTAGTTTCTACTTTTGAAATGTGTGTAATAATATGAGATTCTAACAATGGTCATTGTCTCTATCAAAAAATAAAAGTGTTACCAACAATTGCCTGGTCAATTTTGATGTAACCCTTTACTGAAAGCAGGTGAGTGCACTCTGACCTGGTCAAAACTACAAATCCATCTAAAATCGATGACATTTGTATCTCCGTCTTCAGCCTTTTGTTGTTTACAATTGTGCTAAAAAAGCTATAAGACCAAATAGGATTTTACATTTAATTAATAAGGTCTCTCTTGGATTGAGCCTTTGGACCATCATAGAACTCAAAACCCACAGCCATCCATTACGATACAATAACTTCCCTAGAAATACAATAGTTAAAGATACTATTAAAATAAGATAATTCTTTTGGAATATTAATAAAAGCAGTACTGTTAGTAAAATTGTTGGCCATTCTGAGAGAATTATAAATAAAACAGATTGCACAATCCAGATTGCAGATTGCACACATTGCAACAATCTACACATTGCAACATTGCTAACATTGTTAAGATTGTTGGTCATTCTGAGGGGAGGAGTATAAAACAGATTGCACAATCCAGATTGCAGATTGCACACATTGCAACAATCTGCACATTGCAACATTGCTAAGATTGTTAAAATTTTTGACCATTCTGAGGGGAGAAGTATAAAACAGATTGTACAATCTAGATTGCAGTTTGCACACATTGCAACAATCTGCACATTGCAACATTGCTTAGATTGTTAAGATTGTTGGCCATTCTTAGTTGTATAAAACAGATTGTACAATCCAGATTGCAGTTTGCACACATTGCAACAATATGCACATTGCAACATTGCTAACATTGTTAAGATTGTTGGTCATTCTGAGAGAAGTATAAAACAGATTGTACAATCCAGATTGCGCAAATTGCAACAATCTGCACATTGCAACATTGCTAACATTGTTAAGATTGTTGGCCATTCTGAGAGAAGTATAAAACAGATTGTACAATCCACATTGCAGATTGCACACATTGCAACAATCTGCACATTGCAACATTGCTAACATTGATAAGATTGTTGGCCATTCTGAAAGGAGAAGTATAAAACAGATTGCACAATCCAGATTGCAGTTTGCGCACATTGCAACAATCTGCACATTGCAGCATTGTTAAGATTGTTGGTCATTCTGAGAGAAGTATAAAACAGATTGTACAATCCAGATTGCAGATTGCACACATTGCAACAATCTGCACATTGCAACATTGCTAACATTGTTAAGATTGTTGGCCATTCTGAGAGAAGTATAAAACAGATTGTACAATCCAGATTGCATATTGCACACATTGCAACAATCTGCACATTGTAACATTGAGAGAGAAGTATAGAACAGATTGCAATTCAGATTGCAGATTGTCAACAATCTTACAGAAAAAATGCAATGTGTAAGTGATTTAACATAGGAGTCAATGGAGAAGCAGATTGTTTTCAGTTTGCTAGAGGTACCCTATTGGCCATAGCTAGTGAACACATGATTATACTCTATTGAACACCTGTTTGTAGTGAACACTGATTTCCAGCCAGTGATTTCATTACATAAAAACTGCCATTATGAAAACCGACTCTAGTTAAGATCAGCAGTGAAAACATGCTTATATTCTATTGAACCCATGTGTTTGTAGTGAACACTGAATTACATCTTAACATAACATAGCCATTGTGGCTTAGGTGTGTGGAATGAATCGTCAAGAATGCAAAATAGACTTAAACGTGTACTTTTAGTAATCATTGATTAATACACCAATCCGCCCCCCAACCTAGATGTGATTAGTATCCTATCAGACATTTGAAAGCTGCACCGTGTTTATCGTATTAATATTCAATATTACAACTACTTACCAAAATACTCTTCATACATGTCATACACAGCTTCCATCTTGCTGGCAAAATATACAATGAAGATTGGACACTCTTCATAATATTCTATTGTACTTTTTCCTAGGATACAGCAGGGGCGGATCAAGGATTACATTCGGGGTGAACATTTGGACATTTTGACATCATTGTACCAATTATTTTCATTTTGAAAATTTTGACATAATTGTACCAACTATTTGGAAAAAACTATACTACATTGTACTGTACATTCTAGTATTCAGTGCATATATCAGTATATAGATTATCGCTTTGGGAAATCGGACCATGGATGTTATTTCTGGTCGAATGGCAACATGGGCGGGGAAGATATAAACTGAAACCATCTAGAGCAGTGGCGTAGGAAAAATGTACGTAGACACCAGAAGCAAATGCGTAGTTTTCAAAAGTGAAAATAAATAAAAAATAATGGGCACTCATTCAAATCAATAAAACCCACGATCAAAAAGTTCTTGAAACGTTTATTGCAAATGGATCTGCAATGAATTAATAAGTGGTATTTTCTTCGATAACGACAACATTTAATCAATTGACCATAATCATCCATTTTCAAAGCACTTCATTTATGCTTAATTTCACAGATCTTATTGTACATGTTGTATACCCTATTGACGTCCTTGCTGCAATTATGACCATTATCTCTATCGTCAATTGTACACGATAGCATCGGACGACGTGTTAGGGGATGTCCATTTGCGGGATTAAAAAAACGTAATACAGTTTAATGACTAAAATATTTTGTTAATGATTAAAGGGCTATCGTTGTGATCTAAACAACATTTAACATTGGAGCATATCATGTATTAACTAGCAAAACTGACGATTTATAATTATAAAATGGCATTTCTAATATATACTAATTCGCTTAATTTTCTTTGTTATTATTTGTGTCTCATTATTGAGTGTATATCTGTATATTGGTGCCTCCAGGCATCAGGTTATCTGTGGCTAGTACTTACAAATCATCAATTCTAAAAGGGATTCTAGCTGTTACTCACATAACATTAGGATTGTTTATTCAAGACTTTACATGTATCCGCCACTGAATACAGGTAGTTCGGAACTTGTGATCACGATTAATTTATTCAAAGATTAAGAAGATATGAACTCGCGTAATGCTATCAAACACTTTCATCGGTGAAACATGGATATCCAGAAATAAACTATTATTTGTTCTCCCTAAATTGTACCCCGCTTATGTAATTTCGCGTAATTTGGGCGTCAACTTTCTGAGACGTGTTAACATGCTTCTTTCATCTTAATGATGGATTTGTAGATTCTTTTTTATTGTGAGATGTGAAATTTCAACGTGCAAACAACATTTCCAGTTGCAATCTTAATGAACATATTCATTTGGGTGGTCTTGGCCTGGGAGTGCGAGTATTTCTAGTTTTTACAATGCCTGTCCATAGGCGTAGCCAGGGGGAGGGGTGCGATGGCCCATCATAACCAATTACAATAAAACAATGAGGTATAGGAAGAAAAAAGCTTTAAAATGCTCTTTTTATTACGATAAGCCTCGATGGCACCCCCCCCCCGGACTGGAAACATGGATACACACTGCTGTCAATGATCAATGGCGGAACTTAGTCTTAAATTATGGAACCATTGTCAAATGTAAATTTTATCGGAGGAGAAGTGACTGTTTCATGTGACATAATATTTGGCTGAAAAAGTAAAAATCGAACCATTTTGACCAATCGATGAAAAGTTTTACTACAGGGAATTTGCGAAATTAGCGACCATCTTGCACATAATGAGGTAGCATTTGCTTACTTAACGCTCTCACCGGAATTCGGATGGTTTATATATTGTAATTTTCATAAGTATACATATTGGCCCTCAAAAGTGAAGGAAGGTACACCACCGAAAATATGACAATTCACATGTTCCAACAATAACAATGAATAGACAAATAAAATGAAGAAAGAAGCGAAAATAATATGACCATACATAATTA